TAAGTGTCAATGCTTTTTCCCACAGCTCTAGTTAGGTGAGGGGGAGTAGATCTAACAAACCTGAAGTCTCCCCATAACTACTAAACTGAGAGTTTGAGTGGTCATTTCAAATTGCTCGTTTATAGTCAGCAGAGCATTTAAGCACTGTGTTAAAGTTACAAGGAATCCCACTTACTTGCCATGAATTTTACTGTGCTCGGAATGTTTACTTTTGTTTTTTAGGTTGCAAACAGAATGGCACTAAACTTGGGGATGTAATACTTCCCCCGTGGGCTAAAGGTGATCCTCGTGAATTTATCAGAGTTCATAGGGAGGTAAGATACCCTCTTGTTAAAATTATAATATATTTTTTATAATCTTATGTTCAATCTTGTGTTAGTTACCATTTCAGGAGAAATTACATTTTTTCCAGCTGCTGTATTCTGTTCTGAGTATTTTTGGTATTTGTTTGAAAAACCACAAAATTCATACATTTTGTTGTCTGATAACTGTGGTGGTTGAAAAAGCTACCTGTGGATTTTGTAATGATCAAGCCAGTAAGTTATTCTGTGTCAATACCTACTATAATCAGCATTTCTATTTAATGTGTACATTTTTAACCACAGGCTTTGGAATGTGATTTTGTGAGTTCACACCTACATGAATGGATTGACTTAGTCTTTGGCTATAAACAGCAAGGTCCTGCTGCAGTAGAAGCTGTTAATGTCTTCCATCATCTCTTCTATGAGGGACAAGTTGACATATATAATATCAATGATCCATTAAAAGAAACAGCTACCATAGGATTCATTAATAACTTTGGGCAGATACCCAAACAGGTAATATTTTGAAGAATATTGTGTTTGAACGTGCTTATGTTATAAGAACAAGGCAATGTCTTACATTTTTCTTTTGTACTTGTGGAGATCAAATTCCTCCTAAGATTTATCATCCATAGTTTCCCAGGAGGAAGGACCACTCATTTTTTAGTTTTTTCAGTTCTATCCTTTTATTTGTTGTTGTGTGCCTTCAAGTCATTCCTAAATTATAGCAACTCTGAGATGAGCCTGTCACAGGTTTTTCTTGATATGATTCATTCAGAGAGGTTTTTGCCATTGCCTTGCTCAGGGACTGAGATTATAGTTTGCCCAAGGTCATGCAATGGGTTTTCGTGCCCAAACAGGGATTCGAACCCTGGTTTCCCAGGTCCCAGTCCAACATTCAAACCACTACATCGCACTGGCTGAACTATTAATCCTTTGGTTTTTATGGTTCACAATAGGAAATTATTTTGCAAATGAACAGGGTGATAAATGTATTTGAATGAGAATTTGGCACATCAGTAGGGGATAAAGTTTGGTGTTTTGTTCGTGTTGGTTCATGATACTGTATGTAAGGTCATCACATGACATCATGACTAGGGGAGCAATATATGGAGAAGGTGTAGCTACAGAATATCTGTAACCTTGCTACTGAACCTCATGGGTTTTTCTCTCTCTCAAATGCAGTTGTTTAAGAAACCTCACCCACCAAAACGAGTGAGAAGCAGAATGAATGGAGAAATGAGTGGAATTTCTGTCCCACCAGGTTTTTCAAGTGATAAGATATTTTTCCATCATTTAGATAACCTCAGACCTTCCCTCGCACCAGTAAAAGGTAAGTGCTGTAATCATTTCATTTAATTTAGGTTTCATTTAACTATGTTCATAATTAAAATGTTTAATTTGTTTAGTAAAAAATTTACATACCACAATCTGGTACATAACCCTGGAAAAATGTTCCAGCATATTATTATGGTTAAAACTGAACAGTATTAAGAACACACCAAAGACTAGTCTACAGACATGCATCATTTAAATGCTGTAAAAGCTTGGGCTATCTAAAGGCATCAAAGAAAGGCTCAACTGAACATCCCTTGGTTAGGGACTCCTTTATAATTAGTGCACCAGAGCCTTCTATAAATTCTATCTGTAGGGTATACACATGGTGGAGGCTACCCCACAAATAGCTGTGTATTGAACATCCTTGAAAACAAGGAATTACACTTACAGAACTATGTGTAGGCAAGATCACAAAATCATGGAGGTTGGGAATCAGTTTTGATCTGTGCATTGGGCTCCTTTTGCTTGGAGCCCCATATGAAAGTTACATCCATGGCCAGAATCCTGTTGGTGACAGTATTCACATAACCTATGTTTATAAGAACATATGTGCCTTATAGTGTATTACATAAGGGGGGGCTTCAGTACCTCCTTGCACAGTACCTCCTCCCAGAACCCAAACAAGATAGTTTCATACCGCATGGTCATTTAATTGCTGGATGAGCACAAGGGCACCCACACAGCATCTAGCCATAGTTCTGCAGCAGGAAGCAAAGAGCAGTTGTCACCTTCCTGGAACTGCAGCATATTCACTGTCTGATTTCAGTTTGGGCAGCCCCTACTCTTCCATGGATACTACCAAGGTGTGTGCAGTTACTAAGAAGCTGCTGGGAAGGTGGAGGTGGGAGAGACGCTCCATGTAAATATGCTGCATCTTTGTCACATTACATCCAGAAAGCATGCTCAACTAGTACATTGCATTATGCTCCCCAAGTATCACTGTTGGATTGCAGCCCATGTTTGCAGAGACAATAGGAAGTGAGCAATTGTATGTACCATATATACTTGTGTACAAGTCGACCTCATACACACATAAGTCAAGGGAATGGAAGGTTTCATGGTCAGAATCATGGTTTTTGATATGAACTGTGTATAAGTAGAGGATAAAACCTAGGCGCATCTAACAAAAGATAGAAAGGGGAAAACAGCACTTCTGTCCCCCCTTCTCCTTCTCTGGACCTCTGGGCCTCCAGCTGACACCACTTCCCTAGAGCTGGAGGAGAGGTTTTAACATCGGATTGAGAAGGGAAAGAAGTGGACCTAAAAGGGGTGTTTCTTTGATTGGAAGAGAAGGCTTTCAAATCAGATTGGGAAGAGAAAGAAGTGGAGTTTAAAGGCATGTTAGAAGGCTTTCAGATTGGAATGGGAAGGGAAAGAAATGGAGCTAAAAGGGATTTTTCTTTGATGGGAATGGAAGGCTTTCAGATCAGACTGGGAAGAGGAAGAAGAGGAGCTAAAATGGGTGTTTCTTTGATGGGCAGAGAAGGCTTTCAGGTGGGACTGGGAAGGGAAAGAAATGGAGCTAAAGGGGTGTTTCTTTGATGGGAAGAGAATGCTTTCAAATCAGACTGGGAATCTCTTACACACACACACACACACACACACCTGCCTGAAGACACAAAGAATGGGGCATCAGGCAGAACTTGTTTCAGGACCTTTCTCAGCAGTATTAGTGTATTGACCCGTATATAAGCTGACCCAGCATTTTAGGGTCAATTTTGGGGCATAAATTTCTCGATTTATAATCGAGTATATACGGTAGATAGGATAGCTATAACTGCATAGGATAACTTAAAGGATATGTGTATTGGAAATTAGGGATTAGGGCTCTGAGTTCTAGTGGGATTCAGACAGATGGCTAGCTTGCAATTTGAAGTTTTCTTGTATGGTTATTCACTTCATATATATTCTGGGAATATGCAAATACATTCAGGACTGGAACTAACCCTATGTTGTGTTTGCACTGCTGATCCTTGTTTGTGCTTTGGCCTGTTCTGGTTTACATTGCATCTAGCATATGAAAACCCACATTGAACCATTAACATGAGCGAGATTCAAGTTGTAAGTGACAGCCACAAGACTGAAAATAAATCTTCACAAAGCAAAACTGATTGTGCTTGAATACATACAATCGTGTTCCAAAACCCGATACTTTGCTTGCCACTGTGCTGAATTATAATACTGATTGAAGAATTGATTCCTCAAGCACAGTTCTTTTGGAGGAATGACTCATTCCTGTAGCATTCTTATTAGCTAAATGTCCTTGAAACTCTCCTAATTATGGATAGTTCTGTGTCCTGAGTTTTGATAACAGTACAACACAATTGATCACTGTTTAAATTTTATTCCAAGTTTTCAGTAATGTAAGCAAGATCTTCAGTAAGTTCTTATTTAATATTCTGAAATTGATAACTGTGTTCAGGTAGATGTTTTACATAATCTCACGTAGACTATGTATATAAAAGTAAGATTTTTGTGTGTTACTTACTTCTTTCTTTGTGTATTTGTTGTTGTTGTTTTTGAGCAGAGCTCAAGGAGCGTGTAGGGCAGATAGTATGCACAGAAAAAGGAATTTTGGCAGTAGAACTGAATAAAGTGCTAATTCCGCCCGCCTGGAATAAAACATTTGCATGGGGTTATGCAGATCTGAGCTGCAGGCTAGGAGCCTATGAGTCAGATAAGGTTGGTATATCAAACTTCATTGGTTCTTTGACTTGCATACTTGACTGTATTGGAACAAATATGAGAAGGTTTTACAACAAAGTGATTGAGGAAAACAACCTAACACCAAGCGGATTTTTCCAGTTTACAATTCTTACAAATTCCCTATGTCAAGTATAGATATAATCAGTATACATAATTTAAAACAACTCCACAACACACTGAAAATTGAGGGAGGGATGTCATATTATGTTGAGAGTGGACTGTGGCAGGGGGCAACCTCCCCATTCCTCCAGATGGGTTTCAACCCCTGCATTCCCAACTTGATTTTTTTTTAATTTTATTATAGATATTTTAAAATACATACAACTATCAACATCCAAAATCATATATACATACGTAAACATAACAATGAAGATATACTTAGTATAAATAGAAAAAGATTAAGATAGAAAAGAAACAACATGTAAAAAA